AGTCTCACTAAGTATGGCATGCCGTTATGGGGAAAAAAATCATCCTACGCGTCTGTCCCCAAATCCTTAACCTCTGCTCAACCAGGAGGCCACGGGGGTTATGAGCTCCCAGCAAAACAGCATCAGAGACCACTCTCTGGAGTGAAGCGTCACTTGCTCTCCCAAGACCGGTGCTTAAATGAATGGATAAAGCTGAACTATGAGATCCCAAGTTCAAGTCCCAGCACTGCCACGAACCCATGAAACCAGGCCTGTCTCCTCATCTGTAAATCCCGCCAGTTAGACTAGCAGCGTTGACAAACTTTTTCTGTAGGAGCCAGAGAACTGGTATTTTTGGCTTTGAGAGCTACATGGTCTCCTGTGTCGTAGCCTGAAGGCCAGTGTAGGCAACACATCAACATGCATGGCTCTGTGACAATAAAACTTTATTGGTGGACAGTGAAACTTGAATTCTATATAATTTTCATATGTCATGATATATTACGCTTCCTTTGATTTTTTTTTTTTTTGAAACCACTTCAAATGTACAAACCATTCTCAGCCCAAGGGCCACATAAAAACAGATGATGAGCTGGATTTGGCCCGAGGGCCATGGTTTCCCATCCCCTGGACTAGACAGTCTAGGGGCCTCTTCTGAAACTGACTTTCTAAGACTTTCAATCCACATTCTCGACCAGCAGATACTTGAGTAGCTCTAAAAACCACCCACAACATGTCCAAATGCTAAGCAACACTCATATACCTTTAGAGGTCTTATTTTCTCCTAAAATTTCCCCTAGTCACTTCCTACGCCTGTGATGTCCAGTATGTGGCACTGAGCACCTGAAATGGGGCTCATCCTGAGACGTCAAAATCTGTAGGTGCAAAATACATAGCAGATTTTGAAGACTTCATACAAAAGAAAGGAAGATAGCTCATTCATACCTTCTTCACATTGATGACATGCTGAAATGTCAGTATTTTGGATATAAGGGGTTATGTAAAGTGTCCCATTAAAATTAGTTTCACCTATTTTGCTTTTCTGAATGTGGCCGGTCGAATGTCTACAATTACATAAGAGGTTCAAATCCTGTTTCTATTCAACAATACAGTTGCTTAGAGTGGAGAACACGGACGAATAATTCATAGAAAACTCCATAGCCTACAGTTACATCTTTCCCAAAAGGCACTCAAGGTTACTAAGCTATTCTTATCACTTCGCCCATGAAGGCAAAATAGTGGAGTTGGGGGGGGATGATGAATCGGTGGAGAACAGAGGATTTTTTAGGGCAGTGAAACTACTCTGTGTGATACCATAATAGTGGATGCGTGACTTTATCCATTTGCCCAAACCCACGGTACAACACCAACGGTGAGTCTGAATGTCACCTATGGACCCCTGGGTGATCATGACGTGTCTGTGTAGGTTCACTGACTCTAACAAATGTCTCACTCTCATGGGGACACTGATAATGTGGGAACCTGGGCAGGGGGGACAGGGTGGTATATGGGAAATCCCTCTGCTCAATTTTGTTATGAACCTAAAACTGTTCTAAAAAATAGTCTATTAAAAAAACCCCAAACATATGTTTTTACTTTAATGCAATCACAGATTCATAAAATCTTATTAGAAATAGTTCAGCCCAGGGTTTCCCAACCAGGGGTGATTCTGCCCCCAGGGGACACTGGGCGGTGTCTGCGGACACCTGTGTTTGTCATGACTGGGGGTGCTCCTGGTATTGAGGGGGTGGGGTCAGGGATGCTGCTCAGCCCCCAACAGTGCCCAGGACAGCCCCATGGGGAAGGCACCTGACCCAAATGTCAGCAGTGCCGAGGGGGAGACCCTGAGTGAAATGACGTGGAAGATTCGGCCCTGCCTCAGGGCTCGCACAAGGGGTGCTGCGCAGCCCCGCCTGTCCCCTGGCAAACCTGTCAGTGCGAAGCTCGTCTCTGGCCTGTCCTACACACAGGACCCCAGCCTCTCGACCCGCGGAAGGCTTCCTTCCTTGCAGCACCTGTGGAGCTAATAGGGTACACAGGCCTGGGCAGGTCTCCACCATCCCAGGGACCCCCACTCAGCCAGGTCGGGGACAGAATGGCCCTGGGTCCCCCGTCTCCACGCCTCCCCACGCATGCACACAAGCATCTCATTCACGTGGTACTCCCGGCGCCTGGCACCCGCTCTGATGCTTAAAATAGGCACACAAGCAGCCTTTGTTGGGGAGAGGCAGGAAGGAAGGCAGGCAGGCAGGCTTCAGACAAAGGGGAGAGCAAACCGCACCATCCCGGAAAGGGGGCCGGTGCTGAGCGGGTGGCAGGGAGGGGCAGGAGGGGCGGGTTTCCGCAGGCAAAGTGAAGGTCACTGTGGAGAGGTGAGGCAGGGCCAACGTCCATGGTGCCACCAAGGCTGCATGAGGCATTTCGATCTTGTCAAGTGGGTGATGAGTTGGTAGAGGTGGCAGGGAAATGACGGTACATCTGTGCCTTAGAGAGCAGATTCTGGCCGTGCGGAGCCGCCCACCTAAGCGGGCCACAAGGCCGACCCACCAGCCAGGATGCGTGGCGCCAGAGACCGAGAAGCACTTAAGTGGAAAAGAGAGACGCAGAACCTGGAGGGCTGACCCTGGGCCACCCCCAAGCTTTGGTTCAACAGGCCACCAAGTGTCAGGAAAAAGCCACTTAAATAGCAGCTTGATTGTTCACTGCCAAAACACGGGGGCAACCCAGATGTCCACAGTCAGGTGAAGGGAGAAACAAAGCGTGTCCGTCCACAGGGTGGAATATTACTCACCCACGAACAGGAGCAAGGTGCCGACGCGCGGCCCCCGGGGACGGACCCCGAGCCCACGACGCGCAGGGAGGGAACCAGACACAGAAGGCCACGCGGGGTGTGCGTCCACGTGGGTGACACGTCCGGAACGGGCTCATCCGCGGACGGGAAGGGGGCTCGCGGGGGCCGGGGAGGGGACAGGGAGTGATGGTTAATGGTTATAGGGATCTTATACGAGTGATGAAAGGCTCTAAAGGTTTATAGGGATGGTTGCACAGCTCCATAAACTTCCCCCAAAACTAAACTCTATCCTTAAAATGCCTGAGTTTTATGACATGGAAATTGTACCTCAATTGAAAACATGAAAAGCAGTAAGATCTTCCCCTTGGCAAAGTTCTCAAGGAAAACAACAGCCGTTTCTGGAAGAGTCTCAGAGCTGCCCGAAGCCCCCCTGCGTGCCAGCTGGCAGGGTGGACGAGGAGGAGGGCAGAGGCCATCCCCCCCCGCCCCCCGGGGACAAGTCACTCCCCCTTTTCAGCGCCCCCAGCTGGTCTCCAAGGTGTGCGGGGCGGCATATGCCATGCCTTTCCTCTAGACCCTGAAGAGAAAGAGGCCAGGCCGAAGGGTAGCATGAGGAAGAAGCAATGAAAAGCCAGGTCCGGAACTGTGGAAAAAACAGCAGGAAGCGGAGGGAGGTTCCTTGGAGGAAGAGGCCAGCCTTAAAGGACCCGGGCGTGCGGCGGACGCGAGAGAACCTTCCCCGAACAGAGATCCAGGCGGGCAGTCACCTGCCGGCTGCTACTGTGGGGGGGCCACAAAGCAGGGCGGTGGGGGGGCGGGTAACTCTATATCAATACCCAGCAATTGTGCAACTATCCTAGTAACCATCCTCTCTAGAAAGCTCCAGAAACTTCCAGAGTCATGGAGGCCACACACAACGGCCTTTTTGTAGGAAACTACAAAGGGCTTCAGGAACAGGACTGACCCAGTAAATGCCATTTTAAAGACTGTTCTTTAAAAATGCAAATGAGAAAATTTGTAACAACACCTTGAACGGAAGAAGAAGCTTCTTACTCTACTACATGGTGTACAAAAATAACGCATCCATTCAGGAAACACGAAGCTGAGTCTGTGTGTTAGGTAATTCATGTTGCATCGTCCTTCCCTTCAAACCATAGGGCCCCGCGCTTTATGAAGCACCAAACAAGAGCAGAAAACAATGGCATCAGTCACAGGATACTTTCAAAGTGAGACCAAGCATCACCCATAGAACTCCAGCATCTCTGCAAGCCTCACGCGCTAGGTTAAAAACAGAGAAACAAATCCAAAACTTTGGCATCTTCCAATGCTTGCGACTTAGCGATTCACCCGTGGGTGAGATCCCTGTAATGCACGTTTAGAAGCCACACAGAAGACTAACCGAGAAAGAAGCCAGCACTGCTAAAATCCTCTAAATGTGTTTTTCCTCTCAAAATGAGAGCACTAGATGACTTACAAAGCAACCCCAAATCTGAATGGCCGAATTTCCTAAGGATCAAAGGTGAGAGATGGTCTTCAAAGGGGAAAATAACCTCGTTTTGCCTAGAACAGGGGCGTCTCCACTGGGGTGACTCTGCACCGAGGGGGCAGCGGGCAGTGTCTGCGGACGGCTCTGGCCGTCACAACTTAGGGTTGGCACCCCACAGACAGGGACCCGCCCCGATGTCAGCAGTGCCAAGCGGAGAGACCCGGGTCCATCATATGAGCTCCAGTTGTCGAGTTCATGTATTTAAAGAGCATATAATTGCAGTCCAGTGGTCCCCTTTGGGGTACACATTGGAATGGCTCCTGGGGGGGGTACACCTAGATCAGAATGACCCATGCAACCTTCTCTTAAGCAGACGTGCCTGCTTCTGGACAAACCTTCAGAATCTCCTTGTCACGGACCCTTCTTCCTTTTTTGTTTTTTTCCCTCACTTTTAATGATACGGACCTTTTCTCCCCCCAGAGATTCTTTTTTAAAGCTCCGGGGGTGATCTCATGTGCCACCCCAAGGCTAAAGGACTGGAGTCAAGCTCCAGCTGATTCCTTCCCTCCGCTCCCCTCCCCCTGTGACAACCCAGTAATTCTACCCACCCACCTTCCCCCCTCCCAAAAAAAAACCTTAATTTAGAACATTATTATCAACGTCTCACGTCCCCTCGCCATGTGCCAGGAGCATGCGAGGTGCGTGCATTCCCTCATCTGACCCCCCAGCAGTCCTGTGAGGTACCTGCTACAGCTTTCTTATGCCTGTTTCGCGGAGAAGCAAAGTAAACTCCCAGAGGCCCCGCGGCCCCGCCAGCAGCTGGAGCCCAGGGGGGGACACAGGCCCGCTGTCCAGAGCCCATTTCCGCAAGACCTCAGCATCCAAATGAACAAGTTTGTGAACTTGGCGTCGCTGCATCCCGGACACCTAGCAACAATCGAAGCCTCTGAGCTGCTGTTCATCACGCTTGTCTTCAACCGCCCACCTTCCAGCCCCTAGCAACCCCCGCTCCCCAGGAAAAACAAAGTGCCACCCACATCCCTCAATACCATCGTCCCCAAAACTCCCACCTTGGTTCCTCGTTCCTGAGCCCAAAAATTCCTGAAAAATTCAGTCACCACCATGAAACCTTTCTGCTTATACCCTACATCCTAGAAGCTGACCTCCCAAAGTAGGTTGGACTCCCATCTCTCCTCCAGCTCACGGGTCACCCAGGGGTTTCTGCCTACCCCCCTCGTACACCAAATGATTAGCCCCCCCAAAAGTAGGGGGCCAGTGGCCTCCACAATCCTTGTAACTGACTTCTAACCAAGACCCCCCATTTCCTCCTGACCAGTGTCCTCCCCCAAAACACACCAGCACCAGGTTTCACAGCGCTCCACCACTGGGCCCCCAGGGCCCTCAGACCCCTGCTGAAAGTGGCCTGGCCCTCCCCTCACTGTGCCCCCTTTCTCTGCTCGCCCGCCCTCCCGGGAGACTCCTCAGTCACTCCTCCCTCGGTCCCCAGCTGCACTCCTCTGTCCCCTCCCGCCTGCCTGCGACCCCCAACTCCCAATGCAGCCCCCTCCCCAGCTAACCTCCACTTTCAACTCCACCCCCAGCCCCTCCTCAAATAACCTCCACCTTCAACTCAAGCACAATTCCCTCTCCCCTGTCAACTCCCAACTCAACCCCCACCCTTCCCCTGCCGCCCTCCACCCCAGTTTGAGCCCGGACCCTCAACTACAGCCCCAGCCCCTTCTTCACTGACTTCGACCCCCAACTCCAGCCGGGATCCCCGGCCCTGGCCCCTTCCTCACTGACCACGACCCCCAACTCCGGCGGCTCCCCCCACCTCGCCCCCTCCCCTCCCTCATTGACCGTGACCCCCAACTCTGGACCGACTCCCGGCCCTAGCCCCTTCCTCGCCGACCGCGACCCCCAACTGCCTCCCGGACCCTTCCTCGCTGACCGCGACCCCCAACTGCCTCCCGGACCCTTCCTCGCTGACCGCGA